TATCTATCTATCTATCTATCTATCTATCTATCTATCTATCTATCTATGTATGTATGTATCTGAGCCTGCAACACCTGGAGGAGAAAAACACCTATGTACAAATGCTGTTTGTTGACTTCAGCTCAGCATTCAGTGCAATCATCCCACAGCACCTGGTCAACAAACTGGCTACACTGGGCTTCAACACCACCTTCAGGAACTGGATCATTGACTTCCTATCTGACAGAGCACAGTCAGTACGAGTGGGGAGGAAAACCTTCTCTGTTATCAGTCTTACCTTGATGACCTATGACTGTGTTGACAGGTCTGAGATCAACCACATCATCAAATATGTGGACAACACCACAGTTGTGGGCCTGATAAACAACAACAAGGATCAGGCATATCAGGAAGAGGTGGCACACCTTGTGAACTGCTGTGGGAAAAATAACCTGGTCCTGAATGTCAACAAAAGAGCTCATTATTGACTTCAGGAAAACAAAACAACATCACACTCCGCTGCTCATAAACAACACAGAGGTAGAGGTTCCTGAGGGTGCACGTAACCAATCAGCTGTTTTGGTCAAGAAATACTGGGTCTCTAGTGAAGAAACCCCAGCAGCGTCTGCACTTCTTCCATACGCTGAAGACAGCACACTTCCCGCCCCATGTCCTCACCACATTCTACAGAGGAACCATTGAGAGCATCATGACCATCTGCATCTCAGTTGGGAAGGAAGCTGCCCGGCTGCAGCCTGGAAGGATTTGAGGAGGGTGGTGAGAACGGCAGAGAAGAACATTAGGTCACTCCTCCCATCCATCCAGGACATTGGTCTCAGATGATGTCTGACCAGAGCCAATGAAATCAAAGGAGACAACTCACACCCACAATATGGACTGTTTACTCTGTTGACCTCTGGTACCGCAGCCTGAGGATGAAACCACCAGTTTCTGCAACAGTTTCATCCCACAAGCTATTAGACTGATGAACTGAGGTCACTAATGAAGTGACCGCAATAGCAAACATACCAGACACAGACATACCTCAGTAAAAAAAAAAACCTTAGCCAAAATAATCAGTATATGGGAATTCACTCAGGCATGGATGCTGTGTGTATTGTGAATAGATACTTTGTACGTATGTAGATGTCTGTACATGCATGTATAAATGTATCATATGTCTTGGTGTATATAGGAACATTCGATAACACTTGCACATTACTTGTTGTATCCACACATAAATTGCATATTCTGCTCTGAACACCAAAATCTATAAAATTCATGTAAATTATTTACTCCTACAATGCTGTGGAAAAATTTCGTTCAATTTTGCATGGTGCACTGTACAATTTTGAATGACAAAGTTTATAAAGTTAAAGTTAGTTTTTACGGAGTAGGAGTGACTCCACCTGAAGAAGGAGTTGGGAATGTGGTAAAGAGGTGAAAAAGAGAGTTCAGGCAGGGTGGAGTGGATGGAGAAAAGTTTCAGGAGTGATCTGTGACAAAAGGAGGTCTACAAAGATCAATGGAAATGTTTACAAGACAGAGGTGAGACCAGCTGTGTTGTATGGTCTGGAGACAGTGGCACTGACAAAAACACAGGAGAAAGAACTGGAAATAGCAGAACTGAAGATGCTGAGGTTCTCCTTAGGAGTGACAAGGGTGGAGAAGATTAGGAATGAGATCATCAGAGGTACAGCACAGGTTGAACAACTGGGAGATAAAGTTAGAGAGACCAGACTGAGATGGTTTGGACATGTCCAGAGGAGGGACAGTGGGTATACTGGTAGAAGGATGTTAGAAATGCAGCTGGCAGGAAAAAGACAGATGAGATATATGGATGCAGTTAGAGAGGACATGGTTATAGTTGGAGTGAGGACAGAGGACACAGAGGACAAAGTGAAATGAAAAGGATGATTCATTGTGGCGACCCCTGAAGAGGGAAAAGCCGAAAGAAGATATTGCTTAAAAGTAAAGTTTCCTTAAATAATTGGGCTGGCTGAAGATTAAACAAAAACTTACCTCAGTTCTTCTCCACAGAGTAACTCCCACTCACTTGAGTATCTTGCACCCAAAATATTAAAGTTTACTTCATTCTCTGTTTAATTCCAGTCCAGAAAAACACTCAGCTCCAAAACTACAAATATTCCTTATTCAAATCCCTCAAAGTCTGAGGACATCGGAGTACTGCTCGTTATAATTGCTTCTTATTGCCAGAAGGTCAGAACTTTGAAAAGCATAATTTTTAAGCATGTCTGATTTTATTGTTTTACATAATTAAAAAAAATTAAAAACACATCCTCCTAATGAGGTGATTCTATAATTTTTGCCAGGAGTTGTAGAAACAAACTTACTGGTACATGTTTGTTCACTTTTCATTTTGTAATTAAAGTTGGGGCTTTTTTATTAGTAAAAAAGGCATTAAAGCAAATGACTCTTGATCTTTAGACTTTTGCATCTTTAAATGACTGCTCTACCAATGCAATCACATTGATCTCATGCACCTCACACATCATTCTGGAAAAAAGCAGCGTGTTTTACTACTTTTACTTTCACAAAAGAGCCCAAAGGGGAAAAACAAACAACAACAACAACAACAAAAAAATAGTAAATAATAAATCTGTCATTGTGTGTGTTCGTGAGGTACCTACCCAGTTGTGTAAGGCAACCTAAACACCAGAAAAGCCGGTGAAGAGGCATTGAGTCTGAGTTGGCTCAGGGTCTCAGGATCCATGTATAAAGGAGAAACCGCTAATTGGTCCTGCAACTGACCAATCACAGCATGGGAGGCAGGCCAAGACACAGCAGGTAACACCAGAGGGGACGAAGAGGACTGAAGTGCTGCCTGGGACACAACAGGAAAGAAAAATGTCAAGATTGGGCAAAACAATTCTCTTTTCGCAACAATGTCTGCTTCAATATATCAACAATTAGATTTATGGATGTACTGAGCAGGTAGAGGAAATTTATGTCCTCCCTCTCCTCCACCCATACTTTTTCAAGACTGGGTCACAGGTGACAGGTTCTTTCTTAAAATCATAGAAAGAGAAAACATTAACCAGACTATAACTGACTCAGTCCAAGGACAGTGAATGTGTGAAAACATGACATTATTCAAGTCAAAAGTAACTTTAAAGAAAACAGTTCAGAATGAGTCTGGTATATATATATATATATATATATATATATATATATATTAGGACTGTTGATAGATTAATAAAAATTAACTAATTAATCGCAAATCTGTTAAAAAAATTAATCGCGATTAATTGTGATTAAACACTTTTCAAGGCAACTTATAATAAAGATGGATTCATTTATCAATTATGTCATTTACTTTTATTTTTTTTGTTTTTACTTTGACAATGTTTAAAAGCTTTGAAATAAAATTTGCTAAGAAAATGCAGCACATAACTAAAGTGCATTGCAAACATTCATTTTGTGGTTCAAAACATTTACCGTTTGATGAACAGTATGAATTAGTGTGAACTGCAATTTAGAACCTTACAGAACATTTCTGCTTCGTTTTTAAACCACATGTACCAGATCTACTCTTCATTTAACCAGCTACTAAGGCAAACCAGTCTCTCTACATTACTGGAAGAGAGAGCAGCTCTCTTTATCTGAACCATGTGGCCTGAGAGGGAGAACAGTCTTTCACAGGGTACAGTGGTGGCAGGTGTGGAGAGATATTTGCGGGCAATTTGTGCTAGTCCGGGGTCTGAGTCTCTTCTTTTTGACCACCACTGCAGTGGGCACTCATCCATGTCAGGTTTGGATTCTGATTTGTAGCGGTCCAGTGTAGATTGACTGGAGTCTGCCTCATCGTCTGTGTCTGAATCAGATGATGCAAGCAAGAAGACGGACATCTTCCTCTTCTTTAGTGGTGCTTCCCCTGTTGTTTGAGCACCTTGGATCTGGGCATTTCTACCCTCTTTGAGCAAGTTGTTTAAAGAACTCCACACTTCTCCTCTCTCAGATTTAGGAAGACATTTTAAGTCCTTGAACCTGGGATCAAGTGCAGCAGCATTCTTGAGCCAAGTGAGATTGGAGTTGTTCTTTCGTTGAGCCAGGTCTTCACAAAAGGCCTTTTTGAATCGCACTATGTTGACAGTATCATCACCTGAAGGCTCCATTACTCTGAACATGTGGCAGAAGGCGGCAGCACCACAGAACAGGAGATGTAGTTCTGTCCACCCAGAGTTTCAGTGACATACCTGTGAAAACACTAAACAATAATCAGGTCTCTCTTGTAAATGAGTCCCCGACACTCAATGAGACTGACCTGTAGAAATAAATGTTGAATTAATTTTTTTTTTATTAGAGCACCTGTCACCAAAAAAGTCGTATTCTGTATTTTAATTTTATTTTATTATTAATTTATTCATTCATTTAGAATAAACAAAGCAAATTCATCAAAAAGAAAAACATTGAATGAAAAGGGAGCAGAAAGAAGAATTTTATTTCATTGTTTAAATTTTATTATTGACTCTTTTTAAAGAAATTTTAATTGAATATTTTGGGGTAATATTTTTAATGAGATTTATACATGACTTGTAAAATAATATATTCAACCAAATCATACATTTTTTATAATTTCAACTGATGAAATAATATATTTGTTGTTTTACTTCTAAAATATGCAGAAACACGCATATAATTAGTTTGTCTATTTTTTTTTTACACAGCTTAACTGACCCACTGACTTAACTAATATCAACTTAAGTAAAATAATAGAAGGAAACAGAAATAAAAACGTACCTGCATGGCTCAAGTAGCTCCTCCAACTTCTTCATCTTTCCAAGCTCAGCGTCTGTAATCAGGGGAATTTTGCTGCTCTGTTGTGACAGGGTCGCCTCTATTGGTGATTTATTTTGTTGGATCCTTTGGATCATGTGTAAAGTGGAGTTCCATCTTGTGGGCACATCTTGAATCAGGGATTCTTCTTTTTGTTTATGTGCAACTTGCTGTTGATTCAACTCTCTAGCGTTAGATGGGCTGTGCTTGAAGTGACCAACAATTTTTCGACATTTGGTTAAAACGGCGTCAAATCCACTGTCCCCCATTGACATTGTTCTCTGCAGAGCGTGAGCAGTACAAGGCAGGTGCTCATATGGAAGGAGCCTTGCAGCTGCTGTCAGGTTTCGAGCACTGTCTGTCCCGAGAGTTGTTATTTTTTTCTCAATGTTCCATTGTTGTGCGACCGCCTGGATGTGCTGCGCGCATG